CCCCGCCCTTAAAAAAGACATGGATGGAGAGAAGAATATTCATACCCATACAAAAGGAACATTACTTGATACAGGAACCGAGAGGTAGGCTCTTCAAAGTGATGGCAAAATTGTTCCTTTTTCGTCCAGGATTCACTTCTTGCTTGGTGAAGCGAATTTCGCCGGCCGTCATATGGTCCCTGGCCCATAAGCTATAGGCCAGCTTTTGAGTCTTTTTGGAACGTCTCATGGTGTACCCCAAAGCCCCCATCAGCGAACCAAGCTTTTTATCTGAGAAATAGCGAGAGTTATCAACACAGCTCCGTGGAAGGACAAGAAATAATGATGGAAAGGGGTCGTCGTTCGGTTTCTGCACTGTATCAGCGGGCTGTCGTAAGAACAACAACGTTCGAAAAAGCATTTGTCCACGCCCTTCCGCTTCGGGGACAAAATTAAGCACTAAACTCAGCGATATTATGTCGAATTCTTCAGCCGACTCCTCTGGCAGTGGTAGCGTCATAAAGTCCTGCTTGAGGATTCCTGGCTCCTGGCTATTCAGATCTATATGAACCATGTCGAAGAGACGGCTATTGGAACAAGCATTCCGGGTACTCAGTGATCCGACTTCCAGCATCCGCGGCCGTCTGTTCGCCTTTTTAATCAGATCAACTGGAAGCATTTCAAGTAAAATTTTTGATGTGTCACCGCCGCGTTCATTGCTCTGGCCTTGCAAACTGGCTTGTTGGTATCGATTCAGGCCTCCCATGTCGGATATTTCCGCAGATATAGCAGCTTCCGCTTCTTTGTCTCCTTGCGCTATCGCCTGGCGCTGCCGTTTCTCCAGCTGATGATGTTTGTTGATGAAATTTCGACTTGCCTTGCGCGACATAGATCGCCGTGCTAGCTGTGCAGTGGGTGGCCTGCCGGCATGGAGACTTCTGCGTGGTCTTCTCATTTTATAGTTGCAATGCGAACATGTGCTGGAGGAAGTGTGAAGTAGTTCCTAAGTCAGAAATTTTCCGTTTAATAACGGTCTTATTTCTTGACTCTCCGAGGTGCTGTAGCGCATATCACAACTTTCTTATCATGAAAAATTATACCGAGCTAGCTTCGGCTTGCGATAGAAAAGATGGCCCACTGATGTCACCAAATCTCTACCGTCTCAACCCTTTGCTTAACGATGTACTAGTAGTACGTACAGGACTGCTAGCTCGGATGTTTGGAAACTGTCACGTGCAACCCATCTCGTGACCACAAAAATTATGGGGCCTCCATCCGAACCCTAATTGAATATTCGCACACGGCCTGGAAACTTGGTACCCAAGCCCTGGCTTTTTTTTAAACAAGCTTCCATCACACACTCGACAATTCACCACCTCTTGTCGACTTCGAATCAACGCAATGGCTTCGGAAGGAAAGAAAGGTATGGGATGAAGTTGGGATCTGGCGCATCAATGCAACGACCGTCGATGAAAATTTCCTTTTGGATTCGTTCTCGGCATCATGCAGCAGCAGATTTTGCGAGTTCTTGAAATAAGAGCGATTGCTGATGCACTTTCTTTATAGCCGCCCCAAAGGGCTCCAAGCGTGCGAACGCCGCCGCCAAGGCCGCTTTGGTTGGCGTAGGTTTATTACCACCTGAGCAACAAATAAGGAACACAAGTTTGACTAACATTGTCTCGCTACAGACTCACGCTCATAAGCAGCGCAAGGTCCGAACCAGCACGTCGTTCCACCAGCCCAAGACTCTGGTTCTTTCACGAGCCCCAAAGTACCCTCGCAAGTCGATCCCTCACCAGCCGCGACTTGATGAGCACAAGATTGTCATTCACCCTCTCAACACGGAAAGCGCTATGAAGAAGATGGAGGAGAATAATACACTCGTCTTCATCGTTGATGTTAAGGCCAACAAGGCTCAGATCAAGCTTGCCCTCAAGAAGCTGTATGATATTGACACCGTCAAGATCAATACCCTGATCCGGTATGTTTGATCCCCAGCCCCCTCACCTTCGCCTTGGGGAGACTTTCGGTTGAACGGCCAACTGACTCAACTTGTGCAAACTAGACCGGATGGCTCCAAGAAGGCCTATGTCCGCCTGACTCCCGATGTCGATGCCTTAGATATTGCCGCCAACAAACTTTCCCTGGTGTAAGGATTGGTCAGAACAGCTTGTTTTTGATTTTCATGAAATGGTCTGGTCAGGGATGCAGGGCAGGGACATAAGAAACGGCGCATTTGAAACTTGTCATCTACAATAAGGAAAAATGAATGATGAATTCCGGACCTGACCGTTCATGGCCACGTAAAATCACTTATAAAAGCTCTAGGTGCTGTACAGGCCAGCAAAGCCTCCTGGCAGTGAATTCATACTGTGTAAACCAGAAGTATAATTGAGTGTAGTTGAATTAACCCCTGCGTCTTATAATGTCCTCCTTTTCATCTATTTTCATGTGCCATCAATCAACCACCCCCAGTACTCATCGTCCAGAGTCCCCGGACTCAAGATGATCGCATGCTATTTAGGTGTTTCATCGTAAGGAAATTCATATCGAGAAATCGATCGACACAATTCGCCAGGCATCCTTCCTCAGTGCGATCAAGTTTAGGGTTCTTGATGTTTCCAGTGACGCATTTCTTCCAACAAATCTGCGTCAAGCTATGGGTCTCTGTACGCCCGCCGGCAAGTTAGTACGCTGAGAATACAAGATATCAATGTTCAGTGTGCTAGAAAATGTGCAGAGAGCGAGTATGTGCATATAAATTGCGGGGTCAGGAGCTTGATGTGAATGATGGGTAGCCGTTAAGAGCGATGGAGATGAATCACAGGGCGACTGAGCATCGGCTTTCGAAGGGCACTTACGTGACTGGATCTGCGAACGCTGTTGCTCGTTGGCTAGGAATTGGCGCAATTCAGCCTTATCCTTGTCATTGAGTTTTTCAAGGTCGAGATTCTCGACACCCGCCTGGGCGGCGTTCATGGCGATAATGTAGGGAGTGTGAAGGTGAAGCTCGAGCTGTGTAGTTAGATGCGATTGAGCTGCGCTGAAATTTTAGTAACGCCGACTGGGCGCGCGGGTAGCATGGTGTTCGGGTTGACCAATCGCAGGAAGAACGATGGTCCACTACCTAGGTACCTACGTAGGTAACTACCTAGGTAGGTACTAGGTAGGTACTTAGAGGTATAGGTACAGTAAACCAGCGTTATAACGATCCCATATCTTAACAATAGTCACGCTATTACGATAATTCACGGTTATTTAAGGTTTTTCCCTTAGTAAATTATTAATAATTATAGTTTATATAATATGATAGGTATTAGGCTTAGTTACTATATAAATTAGAAGCTTTTATTATTATTTAAGCGGTATTAAGCCCTATAAGGCCCTACTAAAACCGTAAATTTTATACCTTTTAAGGGGTTATAATATAACTAATCCTTGTAAATATATTTTTATATAGTAAGTCCTAGTAAAGGTATATGCCCTATAATAGTTACACCTTTGCGGTAATTACCAAATATCGCTTATTTTGGCCTCACGAAGGTTATCGCTATAACGCTGGTTTACTGTACTTAAGTACTGAGCCCAACATGATTGCGGTGGCACTCCCAGGGGTTGCCTCCATGTCACCTTGATATCTTTACTCGTTCAGGTAATCGCCACCGATGCTTGGAATGGATATTTGGCCAAAACACCTCCTAAAACCACATCGATTCAATACTAGACGATGGCACATAAGTACGCATGCAGGAGACAGCTTGGTGAATGAGAGCATCCTGGTCGTGGGGAAATTCTGCAATGGAGAGGTAGGTAGACTTCCACGTAATGAAGTTGAGAACGCGGCCATACTGAGCACGCTCACAGAGTAGTTGGTGTCAACTTTTAAAGATATTTATGCTACCTGAAAAGAACTAAACATCAAATATTGCGGAGATACTCTGCACCCATATTATAGGCTTGCTCATTCAAACATTATGCAAAAAGTCCTGTTTAAAACAACAAGGTACGTGGGGGACAAAAACTGACCGAAACAACTACCCAGTGAGCCTGGCCCTGCGACCAGCAGGAGGCTATGTAATTGAAACAAAGATGTATTCCTGGGCATTCTTGCCAAGATGGAGTAGGTGAACAACAGCTGAATCATGTCAACCGCAGCAAGATCAAATGTACCTCTTCCAACGAGCCAATCCCAGAATCAGTGAGCAAACAAATACCATGATCCCAATAATAGTGAAGAACGCGGCGAGACTGCCAGTGCCTTGAAACGGCACAGTGACATTCATTCCAAACACACCGCTAATGAGGTTAAGTGGCACAAGAACGGATGCAAGAAACGTGATCTTGCTCAAGACCCTGTTCGTGTCTGTTCCTTGTGAAATATTGTTGATCGAAAGCGTTGCCAGGTAGTTGCTGTGTGCTCGTGACAGCATCTTCTCAAAGTGGCCGAGATTTGTTGCCATTGTAACAACATGATCTTGAATATCGCCCAAATACATACCAATGTCCATGTGCGGTGTGACTTGGTAATTTTCGTTGCATCGCTTGGTGAACCCTCGCAAGACATCAGCCTTACCTCCAAGAAGTCGCATTAAAGCCATGCAGTTTTTACGAACACGGCCTATGGAACGAAGAAACGAGCTCGAGTCATCTTGGCGCATTACAAACACTTCATCCTCAATCGCATCTGCTTCTAGTTCGATAGTGCGGATGGCAGGGGCAAACGAATCAACGATATTATCGCTTTTTGGCATATTGGTGAGTCTAACTGCCATCGCCATTGGAATGTTTGGTATGGGACACTTACATCAATGCATAGCATATCCAATCGCTGCTAAGAGAGACGTACTCCTTTAAGGCTGTAATTCTTTTCCGAACTTGAGATGCATGCGAGTTCGGGGCAAAGCTGAAACTGAGTGTGCCTTCACGGAATACTAAAACATATATGTTGAAAGGCTCATACTCAATACCATCGGGCTCTTCAACGACATTGAAGGATCGGAAGCACGCGAAATAGTACGATGGAAAGAGCTCGATCTTCTCCCGGGCTTCTTGCGTAATAATATCTTCAATGGTAAGAGGATGCACCCCGAACGCCTTGCAAATTCCTTGGACTTCTTCTTTGGATGCTGTATTCACATTCAGCCACCAAACACCATCTGCTTCATCTTCGGGTAGCTCAAAGAGACCCCGAATATCCTCTCCAGGGAGAACGAGATCGCCCATTTCAGCGGCGTGGATTGTTGACTCCCATGCCGAGGAAAAAAAACTGAAACGATTACCATCAGTTGCGTGGGGAGTTGGCTTCGAATCGACTTCGGTGGGGCGTTTCTCTTGTATAGAGTCATCCGATGGAATTTCCAGTATGTCACCATCCAACGTAGGCACTTGGTTTCGGTGGCTAGTTGTAGACTCAATTCGCAAGTCTTCGAATTCAGAAGGCATCGGTCGACTATGTGCTTGAGCAGCTCGTTCCGCATTGATGAAATTTTCCAAATAGTCGAAGTCGATTCGAAGTTCGTGATTTCTATGCCCGTCCTGTAATGGGAAGCATACATCCTCCTCGGCAGCTTTATCTGTCAACAGACTTCTCGCATCCTTCTCTATAGTTCGAGCCCTGCTTCGATGGCTGCGTCGACTGGATATTGACATAGACCGTCCGTGCCCTTCTTCATGGTCGCACTTTGGCTCCGAGAATGACATGTCTCTTTCACGTCGTCGGGCTTGAGCGAACGCTTTAACCGAATTGGGGGGAGAGATTGATCTGCCTTCATTTATTGTCTCAACTGTAAGCCGACGACTGTGTCGAGCCATCTGCGGTACCTCAAGAGCATCTTCATCTATGATGGCTTCCTCAAAATCTCGAATCCTGATGTCTGGTGTAAAGGGTCCCGCGTCAGTGTCAATTTGACGGGAGCCATATAGAGAGTCAAACGTCCCTCGGCGTGGTCTCTCTAGCCGTTGCGATACATTGGATTCATAGCGATGGTCATCAAGCTCAGGCACAGGGGTATCATACCCGGTGTCGGGGACCATTCCGTCTTGGTCGGACATATTGTACAGTGGTGGCGGTGCTGTCCTCTAAAAACCACCCTCTTGAAGTCAAAGTGGGATTGTACAGAACTTGCCAGTCGAAATTTCCAAAGAGCTTAGCCAAAAGCGATGAACAAAACCACGGCTTAATGATGAGTGATCATAATTAACTGAAGAGGCGGACGGCCGTTTCCCAGACAAATCGCAAAGTTGACAGTCCTCAACCCGGCGCGGCGGATGCGCGCCGAGAGGTGGTATAGTAGCAAAACCGTGGCTATTTGTAAGCCAGGTCCTCGGAAGGAGGTGGAAGTGAACGAGTATTGGAATGCGAATAACCGAACGAAAATAGAAAGCCTAAAGCCCAATTATGGAGGCTTCTTGTTCACTCCGCTATAGACCCAGCAGCCAGGTCCAAGAAGCGAAGAGGGTGGTGTGATTGTAAGGGCGAGTTGAGCCAACTTGAAGGTTTGTAAAGAGTTATTGAGAAGGGTGTTATGGGTTTCCCGCAATGGAAACTTGCAGTCCTCCCCGCGAGATATTTGCCGCAGTGCAGGCTCTAGTACTCCGCACCTGGAGAGGAGAATCCGAAGATTTGGCAATGGATGCGAAGGATTGTAGCTGCGATGAGAGCAATGCGGCTTGATGTGTGGGCTTTCAGTACCGGCAGAGAAACGATGAGTTGGACAAAAATGCGACCATAATGTGCCTGCGAGAAGCAGCAAAAAAATCAAAGTCGGTCGAAGCGAGGACCATGCACGAATTTTGTTTTTTCCCACTCAGTCGCTGGGTGGCTATAATATTGCGGCGCCACTTGACCTTTTCTTCGGAGCGCGGAGCGCCCGCCTGGCCCGCGGAACCACTTCCGGCTAGGGTGAACTGGGCTCCTTGGCCGGTAGGCCCGCACCTGACAGCCAGCCTGCAAAGCTCAACGTGGTCATTCCAAGCATCATCTCCGTCATCAGCCCGCAGGTCAGCGCCTAGGTCCTGCGTTTCAGCCTAGTCTGTAATCTCGTGAGCCTCCTTCTCGACCTACCCAGCATTGTTTTTTTGTGAGGGCAATCTCATTTCTCGATTCATTACTTCGTTGACGACACCACCACTTTCGTAGCTATCGGCAGGCTACTTTTGACAACACACCTAATGGCGGAGGAAATTCTAGACAAGCTCCGGGACCTTGTAGAAGGACAGATTGTATGATGCCGCCCTCGAGTCTTCCCCGCGCGACAAACTCCAAAATATGCACGCACACCTTTGCAAATTGATGTTCTGACAAACCCGCCACACAGGACTTCGACGGTCAGAGACGTGCCGAAGGATTTGCCACCTTGCTTCTGGCTCTATCTGCGGTATGATACAGCCCCCTCCTGTCGATCCGAGCCTGCTAACGCATCTCGCCATCAGTTGTTGGCATTCAATATTGGGTATTTGTATCAGGACATTCAGAAGGCCATGTACATTGGGTTGGGAGGGACTGCATTGACATTTATTCTTGTTGTGCCGCCCTGGCCATTCTACAAGACAAATCCCGTCAAGTGGTTGACTGCTGGTACTGGATGGCACTAGGACAGGTTAGGTTTACGATGCCGTAAATTTTATGAATACAGCAGACCAAGGAGAGATTCCAGAACTCTATCATCAGTTGATAGGTTTATAATTTGTCACGCGTAGCCCAATATCTCCTTCTTTGACCGTGTTACTGGAACCTATTCCTCCGTTGATTTTGTTGTCGTTCAATCTCATCGGCCATATTTCTGGAACTCCCAGTCACGGTTATCAAGAGGGCAGACTGATCTAGCCTTGAGCCATCGAGAGATGCAGTGGAAATGGAATGCATGCTGCTGCCGCGTTAGGAGTTGCGTACTCAACGCGATCTATGGGCTCTTACATTGCAAATTCCCCATGCCACTGTGCATTCTTCGCTGGTGGCGGAGGCTTGATTGGCTTGACATTCTATGCCTGTTGAGAACGTCAGAAACAAGTATTCTGGATGATGAGACAAAGAGAATCATGTGTAACATACACAAGTCCATGATGTGATTACGGCAGATGGCGCAGTTATCAACAACAATGTCCCAGGCCCAGAGTGCGACGGCGTTCCACTGTTGCGTATTTAGCAATCAGGTTGAGAGCTTGCTATTCGATCGTGTATGCAAATTAGGCGAATCGGAGCTTACTTTTTTTACTTCAAACTTTTTCTTGGCTTCGGAGCCTTTCCCATTCGCAGCATCTGCTCTTTTGGATGCGGAAGGGGCGTCGCTCATTTCGACATCAGCCATGTTGTGTGGCTTTGATGCTCGTTTTTGGCTTTGGAAGAAACGAACTTGCGAGATAATGAGTCGAGACTACTCCACGAACCCAAATTGATGATTAAGATAACAAAATATGATATCTACAGTAAAGTTAGCACGATATAGTTAAAACGATCTGAATTTTGAGCCACGGTGCGAGTATGAAGGATGGGGTGACCATCAGGAGCCTAATTTACCTTGATAGCTCATGAGCCACAGGCTCGCAAACAGGCGGAATCTCGACTTTCCGTAGCAAGTTTGTATCGACGACTGAAATTTTGCTGGGCTTCTGAGAAAGCTTCGGCTGAGGAGCAGATGCGGCTAATCAGCAGTGGTGAAGGAAGCAGAGTCCGATACTGTTTTCCAATACTGCCTGGGATTGTTGTGATGTGAGACTCGGGTCGTGAATCTCTCTAGTTGTTCCTTAACCCTGGGTGATGCGGTGGGGCTTTTTCCTGCAGCACAGCACAGTAATCGCACAATAATAGCCCTGGCAGACAAATTTGCAGCCCAGATGTAGGCTTGAGTCCATGGAAAACAACCTGTGATGAGTCTGACTTTGTCCCAGGCATGAGCCATGTAGCGGAAAGCGGTGCCTGTGGATATATGCAACTACCGGGTCCATCCTGCCGCCGAGCTCTAGTTGACCCGTTGTCGTCCCGAGTGAGCAACCCACTTCATTGGGTCTGGTTGTCTTGGCCAGATGAAGCGCACCTGCCAGAGAGATCTTTCTTCCAGTGCTCTCCAGTACTTTCTTCCCAGCCATCACATACAGTACGCAGTGCTCATTCACCAGCGTTTCCCTCTCGCTCTTTCATGGTGCCGTTGATGACACGGCGTAAAGAGCTTGTTACCAGCGAGTGACAGATCAGCAGCTCTTCATCTTAAAATAAACCAATATTTAGCGTCCTACCAGTCCTGTCAAAATACCATAATCACAATGAGCGAAACACCTTCACAACAAAGGACAACTCCGGCTCGTCGGAAATATGGCCGGCAGACCACAAAGTCGGCAGCCCAGAAGGCATATGCATCTGAGAACGACATCGCTGCGCTCGAAACACCACGGACTCATGCGCCGAAAACACCAAACAAGATGAACGAAACTTCTACTCCGGCCAGCGACTTTTACTCATCGCAGCACCCGAATAGCAAAAGCAGAGCGAGGAATAGGACAAAATCCAAAAATGTTCCGCCGTCCCCCGACTCTACACAATACGGTCGCCAAACGCCCCCGCAGCGATCCGCCTCGATCAAACCCGGCATCAATACCGCATTTGCAGGTGCTACTTTCCATGCATCTCCCGCTCCATCCGCTCTACCCATTCCAAGCTTTCTCTCCAAGCCTTCAGGCGAATCTCCCGTTGCACTGGGCAAGGCTGCGCTCCAAGAGCCATCGCCACCCGCAACTGACGGAGACGTCCCCACGCCATTTCGACCATCATCAGTACCCAAGATGAATGAGTCACCGCTAGACTTTATGTTTCGCGCACATAGAGAAGAAAAAGAGCGAAATTTCCGAGGGAATATTCCAAATGACTCTTCCAGACCTTCGGCGTCGCCGCAACCTTTGCAATGGAGTGACATGGGAGGGCCCTCGAAACCGTCCAGTCTGCCGCATCAACGGCGAACTTATTTCCGGCAAGAAGCAGGTGGTATAAATTCTTCGGAATTGGATGGTACACCTGGCAGACCGCTTGGTCCGGCATTCTCAACCCCATATCAAGAACGAATTAAAGCTGCTCGTTCTGCCTCAAACAGTAACACTTCTTTCACCAAAGGCCAGACCGCTGGTTACTTAAACGAGCCAGAAACAGTAGAAGATTCGACGGAAGCATTAAAGAAATATCTTTTTGGCAACAAGAGTTCTATCACGGCTGGTCCATTACGAACTACCACTGAAACCAAACCTGCACTCCACACCGTGCCTAGCGCGGGCACTTCGACGTCAACTGGGACTGAGTCAGGGACGAAGACTACTCGCGCTAGTAATATTACGGAGATAGAAAATGATCTTCGGCGGATTTTGAAGTTAGACATGACCTCGGGGCCAGATTCTGAGGGCCGTACTCTGTTTTCGAGATGATGCATCATTATCGCCAGGCTGATATTGAGTTTTACGTGATTCACGGTCGATTTGTGGTATTCCGAGCTTTGGGTAGATTTCGGAATCTGGAGTTTTGTGGAGGAATCTGTTTTTGACGACTTTTTCTTACACGCTGGAGCCTTTGCATATTGCTATTGGTCTACAGATGTTTCATATCTGGCTCACAAAGCAACCTTGAATCCGTCTATGTTGTCATATACGGAGCTTTGCGTAGAAGACGGTATTACAACCTTGAGAAGCATTTTGGACTTTGGACTTTCTTTGCGAAAAGATATTCATGGTCAACATTTACGATCATTTTCTCATATTCCCCCAGTTGGGTTCGTGATGCACTGTAGGCTTTGGTAGGATGTCACCGGCTAGTATGACAGAGCACGAAGACTCTTTGGGAGGGCCATGCGAGTGCATGCATGTCCACGATTAACGCTTGAACTTGCACATTTAGGTGGCATTTAGATGACTATAAATTAACCTATGCCTAACGATTAGCTGCATTACGCCTGTGTGTGTACATATTCGGCAACAGTTCTAATGAATTCATTCATTCAATTCAACAGGCAGCAACAGTTCTTGTATTTTCAGCTCTATGCAATGGCGAGGAATATAACGCGAATGCTCACGTCGCATCATATCACTGCGGCATTATAAAGCTTTTTGTGACGACTAGCTAGATAGGTCCCTTGCCGTATTCCTTGCTTGTGCTTGCTTTATTTACTTCGTCGACTCCGATTTCGCTGTTCTTTGGAAAAAAACATTCCATGTGATAGAAGAAGGTACTTTGCAAAGAACTTGGTCGCAAATTCATCGAACTCGGTATATTCCGCACCAAGGCGATACGCTGCTGCAATTCCACTTACGCATGCAAGTTCATGCATGTTCTGTTGAATCGCAATAAATTAGCTTCTTCGTCACATGTAAGACCTCGGCTTGCAAAAGAGTTGGATGAAGTCATCGGTCCTTGGGGAAGGCAGGCACTGAGGAAACCCATAGGTTACTCACAACAAGGGTCCACGATCCCGCAAAAAGCGTTCTGTTTCTTCCATTGAGAAACATCATTCCTGGAACGACGCGAAGGTAGTGTTGCCACTTGTGACCAAGCTGATGCCAATGGTTGCGCTTGATAATTTCCGGCTCGTTAATTTCGTGTATTGTCCAAAGACTTTCTTGATTCTGGTCAAGAAAGATGGTTTGGTACACAGGCTTCAAATGGTCGCCTCCTCTGGCTTGTCCTTTCACCAGTTGATGCTGGTAGTTACTGCAGTTGAAGGACATCTCGATCAGACGTGGGTTGTGATTATACGTGTGTGTATAATACATTGGCCGAAAGCCTGCCGACTCAGCCTTCGATCCATTTGCAAAGGCAATCTGTTCCCTTTGGATATCGGTCGTTGGGGCTGCACAAAGCTCCTGCTGGAACTTGGTCTCATAGTATTTTTCGAAATATGCTTTGTCGCTGTGCGTGACTGTTACATCGTCATAAAAGGAAGCCCCTCCCAGGACAAATCTTTCACGCCTCGATGACTCTTTACCTAGTATCCTGAGACTTTCGTCTGCCAGTGTGCAGAGCACAAGGTCATCAAAATCTTCGTCTGTGGTGGCTCCATCCCGAAGGTCTTTGATACGGAGCTTGATTCCATATTTTGACCTGGACAGAACCGTACATACTTCAGCTCGCGTTCGAATATTGACGCCTCGGCCGTCTAGGTATTCACCCCACGTTTTGTAAAATCGGCCTAGGTTGTTAAAGGTATACATTGTGGGCAAATTTGGAAGCAATGTATTTCTGTCGTAATCCCAGAGTTTCATGTTTGGGTCATCAAATAGTCGCTCAACAATACCACATGGAACGTTTGCAGTCTGATTCCCGGTGCCCAAAAACAGAGCAATCAGTGGATACACCATTTTGTCGCCAAAGTCCCTTTTGAAGAAGAATATTCGCAGCATGACCGAGATGGGAATAATTCCAATGATTGGAAGTGCCCATTTAATGACCTTGAGGAATAGCCCGAATCGCCGAATATCTGAGGCGTATCGCTGGACGAGTGTACTTGGGAACACGTTTGTCCAGAACCCATCTTGACCTTTACCAAACGAGACTTGTAGTTTTACTTCTTCAGGGGGATATCCTTGCTCATTGAAGAAGTTGAACGTATGTTTGAATATCTTCAGATGGTATAATTTGTCAGCACTGGCGAACTTGATCATTCACACTGGTCCGCAGCATACCTTTGATCCACCCTGCACACCATTATTCATCCAACTTGCACCATATTTGCGCTCATCAAGGGGTATTGACGTAGCTTGCCCACCTAGCACTTCGTTTCTCTCGAGAATCGTCACTTTATATCTATCTGGATGATTGGCTAATGTCGCTGCGCAAGCCTATCTCACGCTCTTTAGCATTACATGGAAACATAGAAGCGTGACAGAGGATCTTGTACACTTTTTGCTATCTAGAGTCTCTGTCGCGGAGTCGAAGAAATACTTACCATACCTGCGGCGCCGCCCCCAACTATGGCGACATGCTGCATCCGTCTATCTGTAGGCTCCTCCATCGCAAGATTGGTAGAATCTACTCGGTCAGTCACTAATGAAGCCGTGGCTCTCCCTGTGGTGCGATCAAGCCAGATCTGAGGATGCCCGAGTAGGAGTATAGGGAAGTTCTGGTTGTAAGTGAATGACTGTCCCGCGCTGAAGAATGTCTGGTAGTCGTTCAAGTTGATAGCCTCCCGGGAGCATATTCCGGCCCAGTAATCCCTTAAATAAACACCAGGCTCGAGACTTTAGGAATAGGCTAGTGTACTTGTGTGTGATATGCTTTGCTTAATATCGATGTGATTTCTAGGGTGTACGTCATTGACTTCCCATCTAGATCTGGGTCAAGTCATTTTAGGGCCACTTCCCTACCTTGCCCTCCTGTCGCGATGCACTTGGCTCAACATAGCGTCCAGCTCTTGTTGCTGGAACATCTATCGTAGCGATCTGTAATTTTCCGGAAACTATATGCTGAAGGCTTGGGAAAGATCCCCCCCCAAGTGTATTGATGCGATTGCAATTGCCTGGCGCTCCGATCTCCGCCGTGTCCCCGATTCCCAACCTATTGGACTCGAGAGACCTAGATGCGAAATATGATAAACGGCCAGCGCATGAGTCAAGTTTATATATCTCATTGCATTTATAAATGTAGGAAATTAGTTTCTACCTCGTCGTCGTAAAGAGTATCGTATCATTCGTCTGCCAACGCTGAGTTGCAGCGAACTTGTTTCCCTGAAAGGAAAGTAATACAGAATGGCTACTGCTCACGTGATTCCGCGTCTGAGGCGCATCCCACATCAACGCGTTCGTACTTCGCATCCTCGCCAACATGAGACTGACCTTCATTGCTATGCTGCTAGCTCTATTGAGCGACTCTATTCCCCTTTGAAAGCAGATACTGGCCTGCTACCTAATTTATTGTTCTCAATTTCTCCAGTGGTTCGCAATTATTTATTGGAATCATGGCTGCCAACGAAGAGCAGGAGAGCGACCAGCTAAAATCTTCGATTACTCTGCCACTGCAAGAACGGATGGGCAGGAAAGAAGAGGACGTATCGCGGCACTCCAATATACCACAGAGACCGCCATTCAGTCTCGGCTCTCTCAACAGGAAGAAGATGGAAGAGGAGCGACTCGCAAGAATCGCTACCAAGCGGCATCGCATCATATGTGACGAGGAAGATGCAGTGGAAATACCAGAACCGAAACGAGTGGCAATACCAGCGATGAATCATACGATTGCTAAGACCACGGTGCCTTTTCCGAGGGGCACGGTGAAACGGACATGGGCTCTTGGGTATGACAGGTCACCAGACGACATCAAAATAGAGGAAGTGCTCCAAAGGGACAGGCTGCTGCTTGCCCTATTTTCCTCCTTCCAGTGGGATGAGGCGTGGCTCTTGTCTAAAATTGATACTTCGCGTACCAAAATATTACTGGCGGCTTTTGCAAGCGATGACGCCCAGGTTAGTTCACGAGCGGCAGCCATCCGGTGTATTTCTTTTCGGGAACACGATGCTGATCAGCTAGCAGAAACAGGAAATGCGTATTAATAGCCCCAAGAATATCAAATTCTGTTTTCCGCCTATGTATGGCCCTGGGTCCATGCATTCCAAACTACAGATACTAAAGTTCCCCGACTACTTGCGGATAGTAATTTCTTCAGGCAATCTAGTCCCATATGATTGGGGCGAAACGGGTGTAATGGAAAATGTGCGTACCCTCTCAAATGGCTGCTATGTCACCATATTCTACTTTGCTGAGTCTGACATACTTAGATGGTGTTTCTAATTGACCTACCGCTCAAGACTGCAAACGACATAGGTCCAACATCAACACTATTCTTTACCCATCTACAGCATTACCTCCGGGCCATGGGCGTTGATAATAGCATGATTGACAGCTTGTCAAAATACGACTTCTCTGGAACCGAGAATATCGGTTTTGTATATTCCATGTAAGTCTCCAAGGCATTATGTGGAAATATATGTCACTAATCAGCAGTTCCAAGACCTGGAAGCCACCAAAGCGAGTCTCTATCTCGGGCTGGTTCGTTCACGTCCTAATGGGAACGTCATTTACAAAAAGTTAACAACGCGTCATACACAGGGCATTACGGCCTCGGAACTACTGTCTCGGCCCTTGGTTTAGCCACAAGTAACCCTATTGAGGTCGACATAGCTGTGCGTACATTTTGACAGCTCGAGGGGTCAGAGGCATGCTAATCATTGGCACAGTGTGCCTCTCTGGGGTCTGTGAAATACGAACTGATCCAGGCATTATACCACGCTTGTCAGGGTAAGTTGAGCCCAAACAGATATTTAAAAAAGCTACGTCACACTGCATGGGTTTCTAATAGCTGCCAGGGCGTGCTGGAATGGATAAGTCGGAGTTAAAACATGTTGGAGCCGGTCCAAGTCAGAGGTCTACCTGGTCTGAACTCCAGGATAATTTTCGAATATACTTCCCGACTCACGAGACGGTCACAAAAAGTCGAGGAGGGAAAAATGTCAGTAGACAGACTGCTGTTTCAGAATGCCATCAAGCAGAAAACTAACTCTTTTGTTAACCAGGCGGCGGGAACTATATGTTTACAGGAGAAATGGTGGCGTGCCTCGACTTTTCCCACTGAGTTAATGCGCGATTGTGTCAGCACCCGGGATGGTCTACTAATGCACACCAAAATCATCTTGGTGAGACACAAGATCAGCCCAGAAGCAGGTACAAACGAAAAACTTGCGTGGGCATATGTTGGCAGTGCCAACTTATCAGAGAGTGCATGGTAAGTTGGCATCATAACCGAAGCCCGAAATCCTTTCCATTCCAGGCCATTTAAAAATCGTGTATTGTTTTTATAAACCTCTTTGGAAACTTGAGATAACAACTCGACAGGGGCCGCGTGGTGACAGACAGGGCTTCAGGGCAGAAAAAGATGATGTGTCGCAATTGGGAGTGCGGAGTTGTCCTACCTGTTCGTGCTTTTGAACAAGGAAGTGGCCCTGTTGACATGAATGTTTTCCAAGGCACAATACCAATCCCCATGCAAGTCCCAGGACGAAGGTATTGCCCAGACGAGCATCCCTGGTTCTTTCACAGGCACTCTGGAGTGCCATGAAAGTGTTCTACTACTAGTGCTAGCCAAAGGCAAGGACGGCGTGTCCGACACAGCTTGTGGATCCACGACATGCGCAGGGTTATGTTCAGCAGAGCATGCATTGAAATCGGCCGCACGAGTATTGATGATATGGAGATTGCCGAGGGCTACTGGATTGAAACTCCGTTGTGGCGCATCAAGGGAACAAGGGTACCTAGGTATGTCCCAATCGTGCTACGGGTCAACGGTGGGCAGACGGACTGTTCATAAACGGCGAGACAAGAAATCGGAATGGCCGCGTTTCAACCGGCCTAGTGCCAAATATTTAATACAACACTTGCTGTCCGTGTGTCGGGAGAGAAACAAACACGGATCCGGGTTGTCTGAGCAAGACTTCCGGGATTGTACTACAAACTGCCAGCATGCATTACTCACCGCCTTCCTGGAAGCAACGTTGTCTCGGTCCAGTTTAACAGCCTTGTTCCTGTCCTGTTGTGAACCAAGTCCGAAATACATACACACAGAGTGACCAGTTCCAGGTGAGCTCGCAAATGGGCAGATGCAGCACGACATTAATTAGGCTTCAATCAGCATGCGTAGTCCTTCATCATCCGTGTCAATTATCAAATATATACTAATAGTACTTCACTCCGAAGACACGATAGCTCTTGCTCCGAGCCCTTTCACAGGTCCAACACGCCAGCTACTTTATTCAAGGCGATAGGCCCTAAAAGTAGTACCAAGTCCCTAGGAAAAGACAGCTAGCCTACTCCGTAGATCGGTTGGCATTGGAGAAACAGAAGTGTGGGAAATCGTACGAGAACTGGTCATCGGACCTGGTAGCCGGCGCCACTGCCTCAAGTTGTGCTCGAAACGGCCGACCGATTCGGAGTAGTGCGATCCAAGATACATCAACCCAGATAGATTTGCGTACCCAACTACTGTCTCATCTGTTTGTTGTATGTATGTACTAGGATATTGTTGCCATTGTGAGGTACGGTCACGGGCTGTCCACTGCTGGGTACCTACCTACCTATTCCCCAGATGCCTCGGCGAGCAAGCAGGCAGTGCAAGCGGCTACAGCTAGATCTCAGGGATCTTGGCATCTTGAGAAGTAGCCATGATCCTCAGCAGTACATAGTAGTTAGACCAGCATGGTCGGTCAATTGAGTGAGAATGCGTGCAGATGCATGCAGATCGCGTGCCCCAGTGAAGGGGCAGGACGAGATGTGATGGTGGGATGAGAAAGTGGGATGAGGCACGGGCATCTGGAATGTGGCGCCGTCTTTGGAGTGGGCTAGATGGAGTGCCTTGACGGTCCGTTAAACTCTGTTGCTACATTGCGGCCAAGTTTTGGGCCAGAGACAGTTGGAGACCCGGTTGCAAATCCTGGCCGCTTTGGTTTGGTGTCTGGCGACAGGCGCCAGAGGGAAAACGTGCATCCCGGACTAACTGGGGCACAGCTGGGGAGGGGTGAAGCTTGAACCACGCTCAACCACACTCGCAGGAGTCCATACGAATATTGTACTGCGCCGAGTAGCATCGCCCCATCCTTTGTTCCATGCTTGTTCTTGGCCGGGCGAGAGAATGGCTGTTGGCATAATTTGCGCAAGCGAGTGGGACGTTGGTTTCCACGAGGAGGTATGTACATATTCATGGGAGTCTTTCCGCCGTACTACTGATGTGTCAGTCAGTCGACAGCCGAACGTCGGGAACAGCCAGGAGATCTGATCGTACATGACAGTATTGCTGTACCGCACCAATAGGGATGAGCCGGTAGGACGCAACCACCTTGGTCTTTACACCCGAGGCATGCAACGGGTTTGCTTCAAGGACGACTACGTACATAAATGCCTACCCAGGGGAGGTGCCAGTACTGATATTCAACCATCCCATACATACATATACGAGCAAAAACTACTAGGTATCCAGAGCATTGTCACGCTATCCACCAAGGGAGGAACCTTGGTTGGCCTGTAGTCTGAATTGTCATGTGCCATTTTGCAGGTTGCTTGTCGCCTATAGGAAAAACACCAGCCCTGAATCTGATGGTAGTTGCCATGGTTCCCGAGGTCCTGGATCGATCGACTAATATCCCATATTTCCCAGCTCTGCCCAATAATTGTATGGACATGTATGTACTCACCACCACGATTTCAGTCGTAGGTCGAGGCAAATAAGAGGGCCAGAGGCCATTAATGAATGATTTCCGTCAAGATCAGCTCTCCGGGCCACACGATTCGGCACTACGTACTACTAAAGCATTCCCTCGTACATTGTACATCCATGTGCAATATGAAGTATCATCTTGATCACGCAAAGTGGAACAAATGAAGATGTCTGTTGGCTGGCTAGCTTTTTGTAACACCAGCAACATACTAACTTCTTAAGATTATAAGATGGCGAACGATGGGAGAAACCATTGATACGAGTGCCCCCTGGGTACACACGCACACAGACACAAATCCATATATGTATATATACGTGATGTCCTGCACAACTTTGCAAAACATCTCATTGCCTTCAAAGACGCGCTCTGCCACCCGGGATTAGGTTCAATAGCTTTGATGGATATGTACAATAAAGTCCGACGCCGCAAATGTGCAGCAGAAATGGCGGTGCACATCAGACATCTATTGCAATAGCGGTTCTCTAAACTTTTAATGACGGGGGTGGGAGGAATGGGTATCAAGTCCTCCGTATTACTGTGGTGCCAATTGTATGTACAATGATTAATAGTATGTACTAGTAGTTGCAAACATAATAATACATTGGGGTTGGCTGAATTGGCATTGCCGTCAAGGTCGGGTAAATCAGCGGCTGGGGTTGTCGTGCAAGATTCAGCTGGCATGGTTCAATTGGCACCTGGGTGGCTACCGGGATGCAAGGGTGTCGATGCACGCTAACACGTGTCCGGACCAGGGTCATTATCAACCCTGGCACCATTGTGCAATAAACGGCCGCCCGTCTTGGTGATCTGGTCCACAGGGCATTACTGTGTTTCTCCCAGCAGCTCAGGCACTACCATGATTGATGGTGTTGCATTGCAGTGCGCTTGGTTGACAAGTCTGCATGCGGCAAAATCAACCCCCTGTTGTGTCTGTACTAATTTAGACGACGACCCAAGTTGAAAGTCGGGCACTGATAAGGGCTAATTAGCGAGAAATATGGCACCGAGACATGCCGACCTTTTCAGGTACCCGAATCCTCGCCGAGGAGCAGATCGACTGCCCGTTCTCTGCACGCAGAAGAGATGCTCCTGTCGGAGCCCCGAGCACACGGATGACATCTACGAAGCGCATTCGATACAAGCGTGGTTTGTGGAGGAGATTGCGATGATTGATATACATGTCAAGTCGTATAATGTAGTACTAGTACAAACTTCGTTTCTCCACGTTTATTGCGAGATTCTTCGGGTCCATGGCGCGGGTGCCCTGGGGTATGGAGTCCCGGAGAATATTTTACTTCACTGCGCAACAGCTTCACAGTACTAGCTAGGTAGTCATTAGTAGTGCCTAAGACTTGCAGCGTTTGGGAAAAGACTTTTTTTTTAATTAAAAAAACCCCCCGGTAACCACGGAGGTTAAACGGCTGATTGCACTAGAACGATAAACTTCCGGGAGGGCAACCTTATTGCTTATAGTGGTTCAGGAACAGCTTTTCGGTGTATTTTAAGTTTGGTATGTGTTGTATGCCACGCTACGAATGGACGAATAGGGAAAAAAGAAGAGCAAACACGAGGAAAATAACACGCAGTGACTGGGACATTCGAAAATTTTCCGTGTTGAGAGTTGGGTGGTCTACAATTTGGTACGTAAATGTTGCGTGGGCCCCTCCCTTTCACCCTTTTATCAAATCGTTTAGGAGAGGGCTCGGAGTCATTGTTGTGAGAAACGGCATAACGCTGCAGTTCATCTCCATTCTACTGGCCCGAAATGTCTCCAACAAGTTGCAGCAAACTACAATATCAGGCTGTAACCTCAAAGTCTGCACCACTTATGTACAGCACGAACATTGGCATGGTGGTGTGGGTCCCTGGGCACAAGTTCTTCATGCATGATCGGTTCCTGCGTGCATAATTGTGGAGATGCTTAGAGTTGGGGGCTATAAACGGTCCAATAGCCACGACGAAATGATGTTGGGGCATTTTAGGTGTCTGGTGTGCGTGTGCCTTGCATGCATAAGAGTTGGTGCGTGTGTTGTACAACAGTCCAAACGCATCGACAAGGGCAAAACTAAGCTTAGCATACTTGCTCCCAAAGTCAAGAACCTCAATCCCTGGACGACTTGTTCAGAGTACCATTGCATTGTACATACATGGACTGAATAGATGTAGAGGCCTCAAGGTTCTAAATGCGGGCTGGATCAACACGATATACTATCAAGACTTCTTGCGGAACTGGTCAAATGCAGAGGATGGTACTTACTTGGTCATCCAGACGCTTCAAGCTACGTACATGCATTATTAGCCCAAGTGAGTGGCCCTGGAGTTCCGGGTTGTGAAGCCAAAATGCTGTTGGGTACTACTACCACTACTAGGTTGCTAGAGCTAACAGGACGGTCAACCACGAGCATACGCTAGGTCAATGGACTCAACTATTTTTGGCCCGGAACCGCTCTTGTCATGTTTCAGACCGTCTTATTTCATCCAAATGTCCCCATTTGCACCATGAGGGGCTCAATATCTACATG